GGGTCAGAGGGAGGGAGGGAGGGAGGGAGTTTACAAGGGTTTTCTATGGTGGGGAGGTAGCCAAAAGAGAGGGGAAACTGGAATACTCGCGGGGAGGTAGAAAGTTTGTGAGTGTGCGAGTGAGCTAGCGAGTGAGTTTTGTTCGTCGATTAGACGAAGATGAAACGCGAAGAGGAAGAGAGGACGACGAGGAGAAGGAGGGTGAAGAGGTAAAGGAGGAGAAGGAGGAGGAGGAGAAGTTGGAAGCGTACGACTCTGCTTGTGCGCGCGCGCACCTCTCTCTCTCTTTCTTTCTCTCTCTCTCTCTCTCTCTTTCTCAGTATGTGTATAGGGAGGGAGGAGGGTATGTGTTTGTATTTGTGTGTTTGTCGTACGAACGACGAGTAAACTTCCAACGAGTAAAAGAGAAAGACAGGTATATAAATACATATATGTATTACATATCTTTCTGTATAATGTGTATAAGTATTAGTAGAGTAAGGCTTCCGTACAGTGTAATACACGTTACCAACACACATGTACGATTTAGTTTCGTATGCGTTTTACCACGGGGGGTTTCGAGAGTAAAGTAAAAGAGAGAGAACAAGAGAGTAAAAAATAATAAGAGTAAAAGAGAAAGAAAAAAATGATGTGTTAGTTGACAACGATGATGACGAAAACGACGACGATGACGACCCATGACGATGAGGAGGACAACAAGTTTTATGGTAAAATACTAGGATGACTATGACTATGACTATGACTATGACGAGGAGTACGACGACGACGATGAGGACGAGAACGGGCACGACCACTGGCACGATACCGCGTGGGGGTTGCACAGAGACCCCCTGGTGGGGCTCGGACTCCCGACCCCACAGTCCCCCGCTGGAAATGATATCAGTCGCGACTCGGTCGAGGGAGCCCCAACAGCACGAAACTACGCTCGGTGCCCCTCTGACGCGAACCAAAAAGTATTTACCAATTTTTACTCGCGTTATCTACTTACCATTATTATTTTTTTTACCTTGTTCCTCAAACATTTTCTACTCTTTCATTCTTAATTCTTTAACTCTCTATTTCTCTCTCTCTCTCTCTCTCTCTCTCTCTCTCTTCTATCTCTTCTCTCTCTCTTTTTTTCTTCTCTGGCTGTCTGTCTCTCTCTCTCCTTCTATCTTACTCTTTTAAATCTCATTATTAAAGCTGAGGTTACGGGGGAACGTGCACAAGGGCAAAATACGACCGGTGTTATCATTTGTGGATTATAATTTTAGTGTGACAAAAGTTAGACACATTCTTTACGGATTTTTGGAGACAATTAATCATCATCGTCCACATCGGTCATCATCGTCACCACCACCATCATCGCCAGCATTATTAACATTGGTTTATCCTTTCCCCTTGATCTTCTTCTACTTCTACTTCTTCTTCTTCTTCTTCTTCTTCTTCTTCTTCAATCATCTGATTCTTCGTTTCCCTCTATTTCATCTTCTTCTTATTCTTATTCTTATTAGTTGTTTGGTGACCCCAACGTGTCACGCTTGTTCAAAAAAATAAAATAAGACGATTCGGAGGTGGGCATCGAGGACTGTACTAACAAAAAGGTAAGGAGAGACGTTTTGTTAGTTGAAGAAGGTAGCCGTTGTTGGTTTGTTGGTTTGATGGTTTATTGGTTGGTTGGTTTGTTGGTTGGTTGATTGGTTGGTTGGTTGGTTGGTTGGTTGGTGTCGGCGACGTCGAGGCGCGGATATTAATAGAGAGAGCACCGACGACGGTGAGGACTACGACGACGACGTTTAGTTCGGTGAGATGAATCGAGATTTTCTCTCTCTCTCTCTCGTTTTTATTTTCTTTCCCTCTCTTTCTATCTATTTACCTATCTATTTATCTCTATCTTCTCTAGCTTTTTTATTTCTCACTCGTTCTTACTCATACGATCATACACTGTTCTGTTTTGTTCTGTTTTGTTCTGTTCTGTTCTGTTTCGTTGTTGCTTACTCTCTCTCTCTCTCTCTCTCTCTCTCTTTCTCTTTCTCTCTCTATATCTTTTTTATTTTCTCTCTTTCTTTCTGACACAACGTAGGATGGCATGGCCTCGATCCCATTCGTCTATCTATGACCATTTATTCGAATTTTTAAATTAATTCTACTCTTATTCTAAATCTTCATTAATCCCGTTAATTAATTTAACAACAACACGTGGGATTCATTTATCTTTTTCATTTAAATATATTATATTTTTTTATAATAATGATACGAAGAGAAAGAGAGAGAGAGAGAGAGAGAGAGAGAGAGAGGAAAAAAAGATAAACATAATAATTATAAGAGAGTGAAAGTGAGAGAAAAGTGTTAGATAAAAATGATATGTAGATATAAATGATAGGGTACTTAAAAATAACGTGAATCATTGGTACGTCGTTCTTTAGCGATGATTTCTAACATATATATATATATATATACTTCTCCACCATCTTGTTTTTACAATTTTACTCGTTTCCGAAAATAGAGGTATATAATATGGCACGTTCCCTCAGGATAGTAGTCAGCCCCCTTTTCGTTCGTACAACGCTATGCAGTCACTCGTGCTTGTCTATTCTAGTGGCTTGCATCGACCCACCGTATATTATCGGCGGGCGTACGTACCAAGAGAGAGAGAGAGAGAGAGAGAGAAAGAGAGAGAGAGAGGGTCGTTCGCCGAGTCGTTTCTCCTCTAGCGAATCGAGGAATCGATTTTCGGGCCGAACGCTGTGTATCTTCCGGCCCCCCTACGTGAGAGAGTGCCGGCATGGACAAACTCCCTTCGACATTTCTATCTCTCCCTTTCTCTCTTTCCCTTTCTCTCTCTTTCTCTTTCTATTTTTCTCTTTTTATCACTATCACTCTTCTTTTTCTACTGTGACGCAATTATCTCTTTTTCCAAGCCCTTTTTCGTTTTAACTTTTATCATAAAAGGGAAAAGAATACAAAAAAAAAAAAAAAATATATATATATATATATATATATGTTATATACCACCAGGGGTTGTTGCTTCGATTCGTTGGGGAGTCTACCGAAGAAAAATCAAATTTCTTTCTTTTTTCTTCCTTCCCTTTTTTTTCTTTTTTTTTTTAATTATATTATATTATATTAATTTTATTTATTTATTTGTTTATTCATAATTTTGTCCGAGAAAGGAACGTCCATTTAAAGTTTTTAATAAAGCTTCGCAATCTCTTGGCGCACGCACCTACCTCGAAACTTTTCCTCTTCGTCGATCGGATATTTTCGGATTTGGATGCCACGCGTACACCAAGCTAATGTTGTTCTTCTCTATATTTTTCACACACACATTCTTGTTTTATTTTATTCGTCTGATACAATACGTAGTTTAATTCTGTTGTTTTCTTTTTGTCCAAAATAATAATTGATTTTTCATTTATAATAGCAAAAAGAAATGTTTCAAAGCTCTCGTGACAAATTAATTTTAACCTGTCTCTCCTAGTGCCTTGTTTATAATTCTTTACGTTATTTTTTTTCTTTTTTTTTTTTTTTCTTTTTCAATTAACGTTCGATTAATTAACTTGTCGAATTTTCACGTTGTGATAAAGAAACAAATTATTTATCCACTCGAGAACACGCTGTTTTAATACAAATATTTGTATAAAAATTGTTCGCACAAGGAAAATAGAAAGAGAGATCGATCGAATGAAAAAAAAAAAAAAAGAAAGAAAGAAAAACATAAAAAAAAAACAAGAAAAAGATCAAATAATTTTTGTTTAACGAACAATTTAAAACCAGATTGTAGTAGTAGTAGTAGTAGTCCGTGCCCGTTTTTCGTTGTCTTTGCAGACGAGAACCGAAATAGACCAAAGCATGCGTAGAATGCTTAAAAAGGAGGAACTAATTTTGTATAAATGCTGCTAGTTGTTAAAATGAATACAGAGAAAGAGAAAGAGAGGTAAAACCTGTTTCTCTAATTAAATTATATAAACAACAAAAATTGAATTTACCTTAATGAACAAGTGAAAGAAACAAACCAAAACAAAAACCAAAATGAAAATGAAAATGAAATGTCCACATTAATCGTGCTCCCAACACAAATATTTTATTTAAATAACTATTTGTTAAAAAGGTAGCTGCTAGATGAATGGAAAATGAAAAAAAAAGGATTAGTTCAATCGTATCAATTATTTCCTAATAAAATAATCCAACAACGACAAAAAGAAAAAAAAAACAAAGGTTCTAAAGTTTCGTCGACGTATTATTCCCAAATGCAATTTCTTTTAGTCAATCGAGAACGTGTCAGCGTTATTCAATATTCAAATCTATTAGTCATCGATAAATTCGAAACAAAAAGAGAAAAATAAAGTACGTAGAATCTCTCGTTGACGAGAATTAAACCTTATCTGTAAAAGTACAAAAATAAAATTACAAAAAAAAAAAAGAAACAGAAAATAAAAAAATCAATTTTATAAAATGGATTACTTACAAATCAAATAATAATAACATATACAACAACAAAAAAAACATAATTCGAATTAAATAATCACGTTCGTTGTAATATCACAGAATATAATACGATATAACAATAATTATCTCATAGATAGGATTATCTCACGTTTAAAGGATTATTCAATATTCAAATATTATTAGTCATCAACGAATAAAAATAATAATAATAATAATAATAATAAAAAATAAAGTAGTACGTAGTTAGAAAAAATGAAAGAAAATTATCGGTCATACTTCGCACGATGGATGACAAAGAAAAGATATAGCATTGTACATAGAAGGAAGGGACTTGTGAACTTGGACAGAAGGGGGACAGTGGGGTAAAAGGGGGAAGGAGTAAAGGGGCATTTAGGAAAGGGGGCAAAGAGGAATAATAATATAAGCATCGGAGACGTTAAAGTCGTTCGTCTTGAGAAAGAGCTATGAGAAGAGAGCACGTAGGGGCCTTGGAACATGAAACTGCTACTCGTTCGAGGAATGTCGCAATACGATGAGCAGAGACTGCAACGGGGTGCTGACGTAATCGTTCGCCGCATTTATGCGTATACACCACACCGTGAAAGAGAACAAGATCGTTTTTCTCTTTCTCTTACTTCTTTCCCTTTTCCTTTTTCTCTTTCTAATTCTCTCATCCCATCGTTCGTTTATATTTCAATTCGAAATTCGACAAGTTACTTCTAAACATATATTTCTTTTCAATAATTATGATAGTGTATGTTTATATTATATCTAATTCTTTAATAATAGTTTTATTTTAATTAACAATTGTAATTTTTGTACAAATAAAATAATAGCATCAAAATTGTATTCAATTATATTCTCTCTCTTATCATAATTTTATTAATAAAATTATTTAATCTATGTAACATTATCCTATCGTTTTGTTTTTGATTTATGTCATTCCTATCATTTAATAATAAATGAAATAATAAATGCATAAATGAGATAGAGATACGGGGAAGTCAAAATTACGTCAACGTGTTAAAACATTTAAAAGAAACTGAACCGAAAGAAGGACACGTAACGAGATATATATATATATATATATATATATATATATATATATATATAAGCGTATTTTTTAATGACTGTTTTAAAAGGTGTTTATTTTTATCTTAAAAAATTATTTTAAAAAGAAATAAAACAAAATAACGCGAGAGACACATAATAAACCATAAAGTTAAATAAGACAACAAAAGAAAAGGTTTCGTAAAAATTCATTTCGACTTAACCGACCCGTTATCAAGAGTTCCTGATTAAGGTCAATGTAAAGACTCGACATACATGAACGGGATCAAGGGGCGAGGGGGAGGTGGTTAACGTAATAAATTCGTTTAAACGAGACGAAGAAAGAAAAATGGTATTTTATGGTGAAATATTTTTGATTCGTATATTTAAAAAAAAAAAAAAAGAAAGAGAGATTAAAAGCAAAAAAAAAAAAGAATAAAAAAAGTATTGCGTATTTATTTACGTATAACAGATAAATTGATTTTTCGTGCAGCAGGAGGTGACCGGAGCGACCGGTTTGGGGGCAACGAGGGAATATCGATTCGTTATTTTTAGGGGAGGTTCAATCTACGGACCCCACCTATACTTTACTTCAGTATCTTCAAAAATTCAATGTTAGCGGACCATCCCTTTTTGTAAACGATTCGATCCTATGTTTTGCATATAGATATATAGATATATAGTTGCTTTCTTTCTCTCTTTTCTTTTTTTTCTTTTTATGGTCACGCGTTCAAATCGCTAACAGCGGATACAAAAATAAAAAAAAAGACAGAAAACAAATTTATTTACTATTCGTTTCATTGACGAATTATAATGAATTTTATTTTATGTTTTTATATAKATATATATATGTATATTTTTCTTTTTTATCATTTAGTAATTTTAATTTAGACATACCAGTTTGTAGACTAAAAAGAAACAATAAATAAGTTTTAAATAATTTGCATTGAAATAATTGTAAATAATATATGATGTGATATGGATAGATTATGTTTTACTTTCATGATTTAATAATTTGTTCATTCGTTTTTAAGATAATTTGAGAATTTGGATTACAGACTTGTCGATTTAATGTTAATTCATGATATATTATTGTCCTATAAAAATTCTAATTAAAAAATATCTCTCTTATACGTGTACACGGGTTTTACTACTAACCTGCAATCTTATAATTTAATAATACGGAAAATGAAAAAAAAATATATATAAATAAAATGAAAATATTAACATAAATAAAAATTATTCGCCTAGACATCTAAATATATATATATATATGATTATATTTTACAAGGCACTTTTATCGTCGAATTCATTTAAAATTATCTCGTTGATTATCTCCTGAGAAATATTAACGTCTCTTAAATAAATAATTATATTATTATATATTAATTATAGTCGATACCTTTAGTCATAACAATTAAAACAATTTGTTTGCATATAAACACCCATATTAGAGAGAGAATGTGCACTTTAAAAACCCTTCTTTTTTCTTCCTCCTCTTCTTCTTCTTCTTCTTCTCCTTTTCTAGTAGAAAATTTTATATCAATGCTTTGAAGCATCATTGATAATTATTACGATAATGTGTATAAACCATTGGAATATTTAAGCGCTTCTACAAGTTCGATTCTAGCTGGATCTGGATTACAGAAATGTTTTAACAAAATACTATTAAATCCACAATCGCTCAAATTTTCTTGTCCGAATATATTTTGTTGCGTTTTAGGTACATCCTCCGTTTCTATTTGTTCTAAAATTGTAAGATAGAAATACTCATTATATTATTGTTTAATAAAATAAAATAGAATTGTGATAAAAAAAGAAGTGTTATTTACCCAAACCATGTTTAGCAGCAGAGAAGGATGTCGTCGTTGATAAATGAGCACAACTAACCGAAAATTGTTCTAATTGACTTGATTTCATCAAATCGCAAAGAGAAGGTAATACGTGAGGTAAAATAGGACCTTTCAACTCCAATGAATAAAATCTATCCTTATCCACTCTAACTATGCTTTCTTTTACCTTGACAAAATTGATAATTGTTATTTAAAAATGTTAAATAAAATAAAAAATAAATGAATTAATTAGTACCTTCAATGGTCTTAGAGTAGCTCCATGAAACGCAGATGGTGCTAACAGAGTTGGTGGAACACCAGCCAACGCACCAGTTGTCGTTATGGCTGATTTACAATTAATTAACAAATTGAACAAAGCTTGAGCTTCGATACCTTTGACAAATACTAGAGACTGTCTCATGCTATCCACTTCACTTTCCTTTTCTAAGTTCATTCTTGCCTGTGATTATGAAAATTTGATGACAAATGAACAGTGGTCATAATATTATTAATCATAATATTATTAAGCATCTTCTACCTGAGAACTATTAATTTTTTGAATTTCTGAATTCTCTACGCCAAGACTTTGCAACCATTTATCTTGTGCCTCGTCTTCTTCTTCATTAAGGACCGCAGATGAAGAACAAGAATCCAATGTTTCACAACCAGAATCACTTAAATTTAATATCTTCTTGTGTTCTTTTTTTAATGGCATAGTATATTCTATCTCTAAAATAATTATGTCGTGCATAAATGGTAATATTCAATTTAAATAAAAAAGTAATATTTAGAAATTTGTTCTACCTTCTTGTTTTAAAGATTGTCGAAAACCACGTGTTGTAGGTGTCAACAAGGCATGCATTTCAGACAGACCACATATACCAGCAGCACGGAAAAGAACAGTGAAATTATTTGTACAAACATAAAAATATGCACATTGTCGTGCTCGTAATAAATGAAAAAGTGATCTAAAACTGTCACACCATTCTCTGTACAAAGCATCTCTTATCATTTGATTATTTGCTACTGCAGCATTGCTTCCTAAACTTGCACTCACTTTGCCAGCAGAGCGAGGAAATAATTCTAACCATGGTAATGATGGATGCTGCCATACGAGGCAACATTGATGAAATCTAATAAAAAGATAACGCAAAATTGAATAGCATAAATGAAATACAAAAATTTAATATTAAAAAAAGAAAACTTTAAGAAAGCTTACCTTGCATTTGGGCTCGTATCTAATGTAGTTTCTTTTTCTCCTATATCTAAACATCTTACAAAACTGGTAGTACCCGAAGCCTCTTCGCTTGTTTTCAATTTACTGTTCCAAGGGAACGGCTTTGGGGACATAAACCTCATTTTAGTTTTCAACGACCAATCTATTGGAATGTATTTTTCACCTTTCTGAACTTCTAGTTCTGGTATGCATGCATTATTTTCTAGCTTAGCTAATACACTTGTAAAATTTAAAGAACTATCTGGAATACTATCTTCGACAGTCTTTTTTTTCTTAACATTAATGTTTAATAACTCAAACAAAGTACTGTCACTGCTCATTTCTAAATTGCCTTCTACTACCATATCTTTTTCTTCCTTCTTCGCATTGTCTTTTAAAAAAGGATTTTTACGCTTTAGTGATGCTGGTTGATTCAAATTAAAACTTGAATTATTGGATGAATTATTAATTGGTGAGGATGATTCTTCATTGGTATTGTGCATTTTATTATTCATGCGTGCTTGCAAAGCACGCTTTTTCATTTTTAAACGATGCATTTGCATCACTTGATCCGGCAGCTTCCATTCCAGTATGTTTGGACTTTCTACGTTCTCCATTGGTGATTTTTTATTTATGTCATGCTAATATATAAAAAAACAAATATTAATCATTTAAATAATCTCTTATAAAAAAAAATATATATATATATATCAAATTAAAATTTCTATTGTAAATTAAACTTTTTAAATGATTAGGTTATGTTATACAAAAACACTTAATATTTACGTTAACATATTTACATGGAATAATAAATATAAATTAGATTATTATTACGTACCAGTTAATCTAAAAATTCATCAATAGGATGATTATCACTTCTAAATTTCGTTTTAAAATTTTAATACATGCATTCCCGACACCAAAATAAATACCCCACCTAAAGCTGATAACGCTCCCATCATGATTCTTAATGAGCATGCGCAATGAACGTTCAGTGCTCTGCGCATGACCGTTCGTGGCGCCACTGCACCTAATCGAGATATTGCGCGCGTATATTCAATTTTAATATATAAGGTGAAGTAATAATAGCGTGTGTATATTTAGCATATAGTTATATTAAAAATACAATTGTTATACGAACAAATCTATGAATAATAATTTCAATTAATTATGAAAAGAATTATTTCAATAAATAAATAATTTATATACTTTATTACACATGAAAGAAAAACAAAACAAAAAGTATCAAATAAAAATTGTATTTTCGTCATACGCTAATATTACTTCTTATTGTATACGCGTATCGTAATAAATTTTAAATGATAATCTTTCGAATTTTGTTATTCAATTTTTGCAGGAAATATCTACGGACACATATAAGGAATTTGGCACGATTTTTAATTATTCGAGTAAAGTAATTATACGATCGTACGATTACGCGCTCGCGTTAAGATTTTACATATGGATACGAGTAGCAAAAAGCTTTCTATTAACAAATAACATTACTTTGAAAACTCGTAGATAGTATTTCAACACTATTACAGATCATAAATCATAGATTGGCCAAAGTTAAAAACGCTCGTCGTATATAATACAATATACTTCTTATTAAAATGAAGTATCCGATTGTATTCATATACAGGATGTATCAGTTTCTTTCAGAAAAATTTTACAACCATATTTTATGAGTAAAACTAAGAAAAAAAACAAAATTTTATATAAAGCATGAGATCTCCAAATGTTTCTTTTAAAAAGTTATATGAAAAATACGAAATAAAAAGAAATAGGAATAAATGTTTAACAAATAGAATCATCATTATATTTAAATCGTAATTTAAATCGTATTTCTCACGTTTACCAAATCTATCTTTATTATTATAATTTATTAAAATAAACGTACATTATAAATTAAGTACACAGCGTAATAGTCCTATTTTTTTTTTTGCTTCGTTTGCTGTGTCTCTTCGATAATTTAACAATATCTTCGAACAATTCTGACCGCAATTCATTTTATAGAAGATCCAAAACTAATGGTACAGTTAATCTTTCAAGTAAAATGTTAACTTTCAAATTTATTATCTTTGAATATTCAAATAAATATCGACTGTTGTTTTTTATGTGTTTTTTTATGTAGTATCGGCAATACACTAATTTGTCAATTAATTATTTACTTATTTTTGTTGTAAATGTTTTGGATCAAACCATTTTAAGAGCTCATGCTTATATTATATTTTGTTCTTATTTCTTTTTACTTATAAAATATAGTTGAAATTTTCTGAAAAAAAAAAAAAAAAATAAAAACTGAGAGAGATATACCGTATGTCGAATTTTTTTCTAATTTTATGAGAATAAGCATTGGACGAAGTTAAAGTACCGAGCTATAATATAAAACATTTGTTTACTTATTATTTACTCTTCTCTCTCTCTCTCTCTCTCTCTCTCTGTCTGTCTCTCTTTCAATACTTCTAACAACGTTCAAAAATGTATTCTTATTCTCGGAGATTTTGTTTGAAAAAGAACGTGAAGAACGTAAATTTATATATATATATGTTAGCGTTAAATTTTATAATTTAACAAAAATCGTGATAATAATTGAAATTCATTCAAACAAAATGCAAATAATTTAAATGTAATTTGTTCTTAAAATCTACTTTCATTAATTCTACGACAATGTTTATAGTTATTTCTAGTCTTATCTCATTCTGTATTTTGAAAATGAATGTTCAATTAGTCGTGTTGTTTTATCTGATCTAATCTACGAATCAAAATTTCACACAATCTCATACATTATAATTATTAAATTCATATATTACTTTGTCGAAGTTATATAATTCCTGTTTTTATTTATAATTTAAACAAATCAGTATATAGTTATTATCAGATTTTACATTAATCATTTATCATACGAACTAACAAGATTTACCACAAAATAACGCCAACATATATAAATAGTAACGATTCGTCGATGAAATGTATTTTTATTTTATTTTTTTTTTTTATCATCACTTTTTTATTTCGAAACATCGATTTTTCGAGACGTCTAAAACATCCCCAGCGCTTAATATCAATGACAAAATGATCGTTTAATTATTATCGACGATTCTTGTATGAGTGTACGAGTAATTTTTTTCTGTATTTTGCGCACATATGTATGTTTGTTAGAAGAGTGTGTACGTGTATTTATTTATTTTTTTTTCTTGTGTAAGCATGATTTAAAAAGGATCACAAGCATGATCGGGCGCGATCCCTCTTATTTATTTATTTTTTTGTTATTATTATTATTATTTTTGGCGGCAAGTTTCTTTTTTTTTCTTTCTTATATATATATATTTATTTTAAATTTTCTGTTTCTCTCTCTCTCTCTCTCTCTCTCTCTCTCTCTTTTTCTTATTCGTTATCAATCGCTTGTTGTATAATTGCAAAAAAAAAAAAACCAAAGAAAATTGTTGTTGTCTCATCGATTAATGGCGATTTGCAAATATATCACTACGTCGAAACGCGTACACATTGACAAAACATCATCCATTGATCTCTAAGAAATATTTTTCTCTCGTTCGGCGCTTAAAGTAGGAGTAGGAAAAGGAAGATAGGAAGAGTTTTTTTTATTTTTTTCATTACTGTTTTTCTTTTTTTTTTTTTTTTATCTTTCCCTATTCTCCATATCTCATTCTCTTTCTTCGCGTTTCCTTCCTCCAACCTTTTGCATTTTTTTTTTTATTCGTTTTTTAATCTCCTTCTTTATGATTTTTTCTTCTTTTTATTTTTTTTTAAACATACACACGAATACACGTACGTACGTCACGCACACCTTACAGACACACATTAGTAGGTACAAGCAAACAGACAGACAGACAGACTGACACACGTCTCTCGCGCTCGAACGACACTTTCGTGTAATATAATTTTTTTTTTTTTTCCTCCAAATCCCCATCCACCCTCCTTTTTTTTTTCTTCTTATGGAGAAACCCCTCTCTTTTGGCACACAATCATCCGGTACTCAGCAACTTTGTAGCGAACAGGAAGGGATGCCTTTCTTCACCGTGGCCAGAGTACAGGTATGAAGAGAAACATCGATAGAATATGTGACAAGCTGTTAGTGTATCCTGGAACTTTTCCACTTGCATTGCTTGCACCAGAACTTTGAGCAGCTTCTGCTAAACCTGAAAATAAAAAAAATAAAAAAGTAGAAAAAATTTTATTTATTTTATTTCTTATTCCTATTTTTATTATACACTTATCCTTAAACTGAAGTAAGAATAATATGTAGCAATTATATTTAATAAATATATTATATTATATTTTATATTATTATTATATTATAATATATTATATTATATTATTTATATTATTATGTAAAATATTGTTCATCGTTATATTAATATTTTTTTTTCGTATTAAACAAACGTCTATCTGATTTTGTCATTTAAGAAATATATAAAATATGTTACTTATATATAAATAATATTAAATGTTAGATAAAAATATAGAACGATATTGACAAGTGACATCGAGTAATCCACTCACCGCCTATGATAGACACGTGTTCCTTCCCACGAGACGTTCTGTCAAAGCCGATTTTGATCTCTGTAACAGTCAAGGGATAAGCGTTACGTCGATATATCGACTACGTGCTTCTACTAAACATGTAAGATAGACGATTTTCTTTATTTTTAATGGCATTTTGAAATATTTGTCACGTGTACAAATGTTCGCATATATTAATATTTGAATTATTAAAATCAAACTGATCAATTAAAATCAAAGAAATATTTACGATGATAGTACTCTATCAATATTTTTTATTGAACAATATTAATAATTCTAAAAACATATTGTATTAAATAATATTTTGTTTATTTTCAATTTAAATACTCCCTTTTTTCTTTTAATAAAATTGTAATTATTTCAATTTGATACAATAAAAAAGAAAGTAATATTGTCGAAACTTTTGGCATACGAATTTTTATTTAAAAATACATTGATTTGGGAATAAAATTTATTCGTAATTTTTCCTGGATTGACATATACTCAGAGTATCACATAACTATGTCGGTATTAATAAGAATTTTAAAATACTTGTGTACAATTGACAACTGGACGTATCACGGAGTAATTAAAAACAATACTGTGCTACTATATTTGTTTTGCACGGTCAAAAGTTATTGGTGTATGTGTGTGTTGTTTTTCTTCTTTTTTTTTTACAAAAAAATAAACGAAATGAATGAAGAGAAGAAATTCTGTACGTTTTAAAATTTGATTACAAAACAAAACAAAAAAATAAAAAAAAAAAAAAAAAGCAGGGAAAAAGTGTGACAGATAGATTGATAAAACAATTTGTTACGTTTGTGAACATGATGCTGTATCGAGTAAGAGTATCGTACGTAAAATACCACGAGATTTGAAATTATTTGATAAAAGTTCCATAGAAAATATGAAAAGAAAAAAAAATAAAAATAAAAGAAGAAAGAAACAATTTCTTTTGCTTTTGGATTGAAATTAACGAAGAAACTTATTATTCGATTAAATATTAAATGATTGATAATTCAATTGAAAAATATTTCAAGGAAGAAATAATTCATACGAATAATCACTATTAAAAGGATAATAAAGTTACTTCTCGTTATATTTTCAACATTTTATCGAATAATATTATAAATTATGGAGAATAGATTAGTTGAAAAAAAAAAAAAAAAGAAATGTTGTTCCAACGTTAGTTGGCCCCTTTTATCTAACATACCGTATAATCTTAAGGTACCATCGGCCCTGCCAAGACTGTTGGTAGAGATGCATTTGTAGCTACCCACATCCTGTTCCGTGAATCCTTTGATCGCCAACTCCATTAGGACTTTATAACCCGATCGTTCCTCGCGAACACTGTACTTAGGTCTGTGTGTATATAACAAACGATGGATTACTAACTTAAATCTTCATTAAAATGATTCCCCCTAACCAAGAATGATGAAGCTAAAAGTATTACCAAAGAATAATTTAAAAAGAATCTTTAATACATAAACCTAAGGAAAAAAAGACACACACAAAAGAAAAATTTACTTTATTCCCCCACCTTTTGTTGAACTATAAAGATAAATGAATAAATTAATACAAAAAAAAAAAAAAAAATAAAAAAAAAAAATTAGATAATAAATGGTTTCTTACCCTTCCAACAGCATCTCATCGTTAGTTCCACGATGATTTTTCACCCAATAATTAATCGTATTTGGGAATGCTTCGACGTAACATTTTAATGTTACTTCAGTACCCAAAGGTGCTCCTAACAGTTGATTTGGTACCGTCACACTTGGTGCAACTAATCAAATTCAATAAATAATACAATTAAATAATATTCATTAAAAAGTTTCAATAGAAAATATTTTCTATATTCTTAAATATAAATAATCCTAATAAACATTTACGAATGGATTTAATTACAAAATTTAACTTACATTAGTAGTAATAAATATTGGTTAAGTTTAAGGTAAAGGATTACTCGACGATTATTATACCAATGGTGGTTTTATCTTGTAAATATGCATGATGATCCATTTGTAAGGAGTATATGTACCATACTAGTTGTAGTAGTAGTAGTAGTAGTAGTAGATATATACGTCCATTTACAGATGGAGAAGTTTCTAACGCGAAACGTAAATCCAAAGAGATAAGATAGGAGACATGCGATGGACGTTAATACGCTTTTGACTGTGTCAAACTTGAATTTTCCCAGAGTACTACTCTCTCTCTCACATACTCATTCACTCACTCACTCACTCACTCATTCTCTCTCTCTTTCTTTGAACAAGAAGGTTGAATAACTCTCCGAATAATTCGTATCGTTTTGTTTATTTGAACTACGAATATATATTAAATATTATATATATATATATATATGATATAATATACGAAAAGCTAAAATGTTTGAGATATCATTCACGAGAAAGGAACACGACGATCATTTTCAATATTTATACTATACTACATATATGTTTTTTAATCTAACATGAATATATATATATATATTTTTTTATTCGAAGTGAAACACACGATTTTGTCCATTCACTCGTTTGTTCATTCATTCGTGTTCATTTTCGTTTTTATTCATTCGTTCGTACGTAGACCATACGTGAAAATTTTATCTAGGCAGTCGATATTGTTTTATTTTATGATTTTGTTGTTGTTGTTGAATGAAAAAATATATAACTCTCTCTCGGCCGGTTAATTTTAAAAGAGGAAGGGAGGGGAAGGTTGGAAAAACTAAAAAAAAAAAAAAAACATCTCTGACAAATAGAAACGTTGATAATCGAACGTGTCAACGAATATGTTTAAAAGATTATCAAATTTTCTTTATATTTGTATACAGGTGAGAATTATTATATTCATAGGAATTATTCATAACTCGTGATAACTATAAATAGTAAAGTATTGATAAGTTTGTTTTCCTTTTTTTTTTTTTTTTTGGATTTTCAATTTGATAGCAATTTTTATTTGAAGATGTAATAGAGAAAATACATTTTATTCTTATAAGAATAATATCATTTAACACAAATGATAGGAAAATTTTGATCATTCACAAAACTATTTCTTACTTGTGGAAAATATAAATAACATTTATTTATATCAGTTATATGTGAAAGTATACTCATTGATAATAAAATTGATATCGATGTACGAATTGAATAATCTTAAAATGTGTATTTTTTAATTTTTCTGTATCTTTCTGTATAAAAGAATTAAAAAAAAAAATTGCATTACATTACATTATAAACATTTCACAATTATTTAAAATATAAATTATAATTATAAGAAATTATATTACTTTTTTTTTCACAAAAACAAATGAAACACATTTAATTAATGATACCGAATGAATTTCTGACGATACGAATAATTCTTCTTTCCCCTACCCCCTCTCCAAACTTAATTAGTTTTATATCTAATATTCGAATGACTTTGAAAAGGTAAAATATTTCGAATTACGATCTCGAAATTTCGTTGAAATGGCACGGACTAGTCGAGGTTGGAAATTAATCACGTAAGATATCAAAAGTACTATCAGGTTATATCATATATATTATGTGAAATTTGAAGATGTTCGTTTGTATTTCCATAAACTAAGTAACGTCGTCGTAGTCGTAGTCGTCGTAGCTTATTTCGGTGCTGTAGCAATAGGAGCAGTGCACTCCAATTCTATGTTTAATTCACTAGTAATATCAAAGAGATAAATGTAAAGGAATAGAGAGAAAGAGAAAGAGAAAGAGAAAGAGAAAGAAAGACGGAAATACAAAGATAGATAGAATGAGTGAGTAGTAGGGAAAGTTGGTAGGTTGGATGAGTGGGTGGTTGAATGAAAGGGGGATGGGGATAGGGATGGGGATGGGAATGGGAATGGAAGTGGGGGATAGAAAGGTATTCTATATTTTCTTCTAATCATACTCGAGGTAACCAATTTAATTATGCACATTGCTATTTCTCGTCGCAATACCTTAATAGGAAACAAAAACGACTTTAGAAACGTACGACGACACCGTACAGGTAAAAGGAAAATAATAATAATAATAATATATATATACATATATATTATACCCTGTAATAGAAACGTTCAGAGACAAAGAAGGTAAATGAGAAATATATAGAAAGATAAAAAGGTAAAGAGAGAAAGAGAGACAGAACAATATTATATTCAACGAATACTCGTTTCGAAATCCGCATTGAAACGACTCCTCACCACCAATGCAATCGATTTACCTAACTTGTCTTGGTTGTGTTTTAAAACCTCTTTGAAAATTGGTTTATCTATCAAATTTGACGAACTCAAGAAGATACTATACTCCTTAACAAAGTATTATATTATATTTTACGAAATAATATAATATGACTATTATTTTTAATATCAAATTTATAATATAAAAGTAATTTTTTTAATTGTATATCCTTCTATTCTATATTCAATAACTATTCTTATATATAGTTATGTTTTTTTTTTTACATGATTTTAAGTCATGAATCTTTCTCCAATAAAATTATGAACAATTTTCTAATCTTTTATTATTTTTACGACGATCATTAAATGTCTAACATTATATAATTTCAATATTTAGAAAGATGACGCTCGCAAGCAACATTTTCAAAGTGTGTCTGGAGGGTTGCACCCTTACAGGCGCACATTTTTATAATTATTAAATAAATAATTACAAAATAAAGTACAAATAATATTATATTATAAATTATCTTACTCCTAATATTATGCATTAGTCTCATTTTCTCAAAAAATTTGCTTTTTTAAAGGGTTTTCATTTCTAACTTGTGTGATCTGCACACACATGTTTTTTTTTTTTTTTTAAACAAATCAAGTTATTTTTTATAATTACAATAATCGTTTCAAGGGTTTTTTTTTAAATTATTCATTAAAATATTGCATTATTTCTTACGATCATTATAATGATGAAATATTGTTTAACGTTTTATTTTTAAAATCAGTATTAAAAATGTTCAAATAATAATTCTAATTTAATATTTTTGCAATCTTACTTGTATCGTATATAAATAGTAATACTTTAAATTGTCGATATATGTTTAAAGTTAAAATGACGTGACAAATATAAATGAAAATAATTTGAACTATATATTCCAGAAAAAATTAGAATAATAAGTACAATCTTAAAAAGAGAAATCATCTAAGAAGATTATTTCGTTACGCGTTAACGTTATTATTCAAAAGAAAGTATAAAAATAGTTTTTCCTTCCTTGACCAAACTAATGCGAGAAAGTCGATAATAACCCGAGAAAATGAAAACTCAGGATAATATATAAAATATTTTCTTTTGAAAAATATAACCAATTTTTTTTATAAAATTGTATGTATTTTTTCATTTGAAAAAATAATCCTATACCTAATGATATTTAACACTATCTCTCTTTTTGCAATAAATCATTCATTCATGAGAATTAAATTATCACCTTGTATATAAAAATCATAAAGAAATTTTATACAAGAAATAAACAGTGTGTGAAAATTTTGTATTGTTATGAAAAAAAAAAAAATTTATAAAAATACAAATTGTTCTTGGTATTTTTCTCAAAGAAGAAAAATATTATACAGTATAAATCAAAAACAGAAACAAATTGATATTTCTTTTGATTATTTTTTCATTCTTTTATAGTATTTTCACATATTACTATTTTCTTCGTTTAATAAGATAAAAAGTAGAATAAGAATATGATATATACAAAGGATACGCGTATAACATTTTTTTACATATATATATATATATATATACTATACATAATACTTCGTTAAAATACCTACACGTTAGAGAGTGTATTATCAGTAACAATATTACTCTGTAGTTAAGGAAAACTTTGGTACGCGCGACAAAGTCTCGTTACATCTCTTTGTGATCGGAACAATGAACCGGAAGTATCGCGATTATGATAATGACAATAGCGTAATTAATAGCTGAGCTTTGTACCGAACAGCGGGAGCCCGCATACGATGGGATTAATTCAACATCAAAGTTTCACAGCAAAGTACGATGAGGAAAGACAGAGACAGAGACAGAGACAGAGTCAGAGATAGAAAGAAAAAGAGAAAGAGAAAAAGAAAGAGTTAGATAGAAAGAGAAAGAAAAAGTAAAAGAAAGAGAGAGAGAGAGAGAGAGAGAGAGAAATTTCAAAGACGGCATTAGAGAAAGAAAGAAAGAAAGAGAGAAAGAAAGAAAGAAAGAAAGAAAGAAAAAAACAAGTAAAATGATAAGAAAAGAAAAGAAAAGAAAAGAAAGGAATAGAAAAGAAAGGAATAGAAAAGAAGGAAAGATTCTGAAGTGATCGATAAAGAGATCGCAGGATAAAGGGGTAAAGAGAGGGATGAAAGAAAAGGAGGGTAAAGGTGGTTTGAGGGTGGTTGGAATTGAGTTTGGTCGAAGTCGACGGTCAGCGTCTTCAACCTTTCGACGCGTCGTAGGTCCGCAGTGCCAGGTCGTTACATCACACACACACACACATACATACAGACACGTAACTACCACACAGACAAACACAACTACAAATATATAGACAAACGTAAAAAGACAGACACCTTGACGGAATTCAAACACATACACACACACACAGATCTATCTATCTATATATATATATATATATAGTAACACATAAAGTAAGAAGGATTGTAGGAGGACAATTCGTAGTTCCTTGTAGATATGTAAGTAGGTACAAAGGGAGTAATAGGTGTGGGTACAACATTGGTTTTCTTGAAAAAGGGAGTATTTTCGCGGTAGAAAAGAAAAAGAGAGAAAGGGGTTGGAGTTGAGGGGGTATGGGGAGGTCATGATCGGAAATCAGAGAGAAGAAAGGAAAGGAAAAATAGGGGAAAAAAAAGAAAAGAAAAGGAAAAGGGTAAGAAAAGAAGGTTGAAGGGGTTAAAGGGGGAGTTCGATGGGTGAGTGTTTGAAGGTAAGTTCAGACTTACAATTCACGGCGAGCGTCACTCGCTTGCTAACGGCCGGCGGCACGTCGTTGCTGGCGATGCAGAGATACACCCCCATTTGTCGTCTCTCGACACGATGGAATTGCAGTTGGGAACCATTGTAGGTCTCTAGCTTCTCGTAGGTATTTCCTCCACCTGCGCTCACGTAAGAAAACGTTACTGTCAACTTCTATTTTCCTACTCTTTTCAAACACCACACAATCAAAACCACAACCAGTACCATCAAACAAACACCAAATTTAGTCCTCTACTCCTTACTTTGTTTTTTTATTTTTTAATACTACCAAAACCTTTAGATCTTATTTTGTTTATACATCACTATCAAACTAATCCCTCATTCTTATATTTTGTTATATTATTTTATTTTTCTATCTATCACTATCAAAGTAACCCTTCGTTCTCCTCATATTTTAGTTAAATATTTTATTATTAAATAAATTTTATTATATTAATTACATATCTTATAATTTAGTCATATATTTTATTTTTTCTAGATCTTCTTTTTCTTATTTGTTTTCCTACCCTTTTTCTTAACATCGATCGAACCTATAAGCTCTATTTTTTTTTTTTTTTTTGTATATCTCCTTTTCTTTTTTCTTTTCTTTTCTCTCTTCGAACTACTCTCCATCACCGATAAGATAGAGATATATTTGACTAGTCACGTAACTTGTTACCTCACGGAGGTATCTCGGTTTACCCAGAATTCACGAAAAGATTCTGAATGGAGAGTTTTTTTTTAGATAAATCGTTTGTCGAAACGTTTCGACAATTTTTGTGCTAACCTTTTTCCCTTCCCCCCCCCCATTTTGTTGCTATTTCTGTAGCTACTACTGTTGCTGAGTTGTTGTTGTTACTTTTTTCCATTTGAAATGTCATGGAGAATTTTTCTATTGTTTCGATCCTATGTATTTGTTCGCATTCAATTCATTTTTTCTCTCTCTTTGTCTTTCTCTTTCTCTTGATTGAGATTACATTGTCAATAAAGAAAGAATTTAATTAAAAAATAGCGGAATTCTCTATCACATATTGCATAAAAAGATCGATTTTATTTTAATTGACAATATATATATATATATACTATATATGTATACATATATATGTTTTGATACCTGTCTTTTTATTACATTAAATTACAATTTGTCCCTTCTCGTCTACCAATTAAAAAAATTTCTTT